TAGAAATAAACTGAATAGAATTGATTTAATGACAATAAAACTGGGAAAAAGGGTAAAAAAAGAAAAACGTTCCAGAGCGATGTCTATAATCCAGGGTTGTATTCCTTAGTCTTCACAGAATAGAAGACGGGTTCCAGATTAGGGATTACAGAGCATAGCGGACAGTGACCTCTGCTGTTTCCTGCAGCTGCAGGTTGTGGTTCTGGACGGCAAACTGGACCTCATCATGAATCCTGTCTTTCTCAAACTCATTCAGATCAAGTGGAAACTTTACGGAAGGTAACCTGATTGTTGGACAGGTGTGACATCATTGCTCCTTTACCTACATCTGTGTTTTCTGTTGCTAACAGGCTGGGGGCGTGGCTTCTCCTGGTCCTCAACCTCCTGCTCAACGTCTCTTGGACAGCTGCTGCTATCTCCATGTCTGCCAGTCAGGACTCGTCCGACCGCTACATCTTTCCACAGGTGACCTTTCTGTGGATCCACCGTCTATGGATCCACAGTCTGTCTCTGACTTCTCTGTCTCTCCCAGGATTGGTGGCGGGTTCTTCTTGTGGTTCTGGCCCTTCTGCTCACCCTGGAGGAGGTGTGCAGGGAGATCCAGGACATCATGTCCTCCAGGAAGAAGCTCCTTTTGCGGAAGAGATGGATGGAGCACCGTTTGCAGGATGATCTGCGATGCTCACATCCTATGTGGCCCCAGGTAGGAAACGTTACATCGTTCTGAATGAAGAACCCCTGATCCCAGCAGGATGCGGGTTTACTGGAGCAGCAGAGCGGCGTGTGTTTCAGGAGAGGCAGTATCTACTGAGAGAGACCAGGAGGATCCACAGGATGAGGGGCACCTACAGCCGAGACCTCTGGTACCGATTTATACACTTCAGAAAAGCATTTGAAAATGTGGCACCAATAATGAAAGAGCTACCAGAACAGATGATTCATCAGCGGATTTACATCCATCACATTTTGGAGATATTGATGGAAATATTCTGTGCAATTTTGTTTTTGAATAGTTGAGTCTTTGAAACACCTTGAACTGAATTAACTGGTGCTTTACATTAATAGAGAATGATCCAATCCTCCCAATCCTCCCAATCTGCAAACCCAGCTCCTCCTCCCATGCAGCCCTCAGAGAGCTAACAGATGAATTTATTGTGTTTTTTAGCAAAGCTTTTCTTTTAGCTTTCAATATAAACTATTATCTCAATCCTTCTCTAACTATCATAGCAGCACTGAATGGCTTCCTATTCTGTGCCTTATTCGAGCTTGGTGTTTCGAAACATTTGACACCATTTTGAATGGCGGCATCTGCTGGATAGCCGTGAGAACTACATCTAAGAGTCGCAGCAATGAGAGCGTTTGCTTCTGCTACTGGGACGGTGCTTGTGTTACTTACATTGTAAAATAGGGAAGGTTGAGCGCTTTCTTTCTGTCTCAACAATTTTTATAAAAAAAAAAGAATGATTTCCACTGCGTTTGGCTTTAATCTGCTCCTCTTCTCGGGGCTTATTACTAGTGTTGCACCGATACCGATACCAGTATCAGGTGGGGCCCCGATCCAGCACTAAAATGGTGGTATCCGTATCGGTGAGTACCAACAAATAGAGCATCGATACCATTTTGAGAGGCAGAAGTTTATTCAACTATTGTCCCCTGTTAGGATAATTATCATTGAAGATGTGTGAGTTTATCACCTCCTGGAATGGGCTGCCTAATGCGCATCAGAACTGACGTTTTAATCTAATAAGGACAGTTCCTCTCACTGGATATACGGTTATAATCTTCAATTCGTCTGTGGTGAAGATTTGGAAATGGAATGAGAGCGGCGTCCTAATTCCACATGTGTTCATTCAGAGTTTTGATGCCTTCAGTGTGAATCTATAAATGTCATAGTCATGAAAATAAAGTAAAATCTTTGAATGAGAAAGTGTCCAAACTTTTGTTCTGTACTGTATATATTTTCCCTAAACTATACTAAGCTAATCTAAATCTATTCTAGACTATACCTAAATATAAATACTTTCCCTGTCTCAGATATAAACTATTAAAGCCGCTAGCAAAACAATCTCCTCTTAAAGCCACGATTTGAGCTTTGATTCTGATGCTGTTAAATACCTAACATTATCGCTGAAACACCCAGATTATTCAAATTTCCCAAGCAGCTGGGAACTCAGTCCTCCCTGCTGATTCTCTGGCTAATTTAGCTCTTTTTTTCTGATGTTTCATCTTAATTTCTACCCACTGACAGGAACATCTTTGATTGGCTGGTTTACTGCCTGCTGACGGCATCCTTCAGTGTTCACCTGGCTGACGTGCTGAAGCCGTCCAACCGCATGCATGCGCTCAGTCTGCGCCTCTTCTCCATTTCTATCATCTTCCTGTGGCTGCGAATCATGAAACACGTACGAGCGTTCAGGTAAAGAGTATGCAGTGATTCACAAACATGAAGCAGCTAACATTCAGTGGCTAACATGTAGCAGCTAACATGTAGCAGCTAACATGAAGCAGCTAACATGTAGCAGCTAACATATAGCAGCTAACATGTAGCAGCTAACATGTAGCAGCTAACATTCAGTGGCTAACATGGAGCAGCTAACATTCAGTGGCTAACATGTAGCAGCTAACATGTAGCAGCTAACATGAAGCAGCTAACATATAGCAGCTAACATGTAGCAGCTAACATGGAGCAGCTAACATTCAGTGGCTAACATGGAGCAGCTAACATTCAGTGG